GAACCATTTGGGACCTTCATTTCTGACCGACAACCAAATTGGTTACCCATTGTTATAGAGCGAGCTGCGCTATATACTAAAATAAGTGAATCATCGACCGATACATTCAAAGGTATGAGCTGCAGAAAATATTCGTGCATGTAAGGACATCGTGAACACTTACAAATTTGTACATTTATTATATAGTACTAGCAACCTATGCGAAAATCAGCAATGCCACTACCACAGCGACAAAGTACGTCACAGCAACCCGAAGAGTGGTGGGACTTCCATTCATGGCACGTTGCCAATCGGAAACATTGCCATGAATTTGCAGCTTACCACAGTCGACCACATTTGATGTACCAGCTTCGATAACGAGTATCACCCTGAACAAGTAACTTTGGCAATTCCCTAAAGTTACGGGACATTAAAGTAAAAAGCATGGTTGAGTACATGCAAGCGTCAGAAAAGGTGTCCAGACCTCTGGCGTTCGTTCGCGCGAGCGCACGCCGCCAGTTACATTTCAAATTAAGTACACTTAAAGGCAAAAGTCTGGCTCAATAAGGGGGATTATGGCGATTGAAACTGAGTATAGAGATGCGAAGTGTAACGGCAGTGGAGAAAAAACCGCGAAAAACCCTCGACAAGGCCGTTAACAAAGCCCTCTTTCTCAAAAGCAATGAAGGAGGCCGGCTTGGGGAAGAGGCACGTACAAGCAAGTTTTCTGAAGATATCAGTCGTTCTATCGGTTGATACGGCTATCAACCTAGCTGATTTCACACGTTATGCCACATCCCGAGGTGGGCGGTCGTAGCGGGGCTAGGCGGCGATAGCGCATAGTACGTGCCCTGAGGCCTTATTACCGCGTCGTTTGAGATTTTGAGCATGGGAACATCTCTATGGGTGCGTAACCAATTACAGGAATGACCGAAAGGGTTGGTTAGGTTCACTAAGCCCGACCTTTGCCTTTAAGAATAGATCAGCTCCAGAAGCTTCCAGTAGGCGGCGACGACCAGTGCTTCTCGCCCGTACTTATCCGATGTGGATTGCGCTGACGCACCTAGAGCCGGCACGTCAGCACGCGCAGGCAGTCTGGAAGCGTCTGCACACCGGCCTACAGCGAATATTTGCGCGAAAGAAGCGCAATCTTTCTTCCACCCACAATTGACATTGGGAACCCATCGGCTTTCACAGATCAGGAACGAAAGGAGACGAAGAAAATGGCATTTGATTTTGATTAAGAAATTCGAAACCCCAAAATTCCGAGAAACCGAAAAAACGATCAAAGTACCGCCAGACATCTGTCACAAATGCTGGCGACGAGAACTGCTTCCACTTGGTTCTCGGAATGCCATCACTAGAAACTCTTTCTGGCCTTTTCACTTATGGCATTGACATCTCAGACATTTTACTGCATCCTATTCTATCGATCGATTTGTCTACTCTTCCAGTCGTTACGCTCTTTAACCCGATTCTTTCATTGCGTCGCCTGATACGTAGCCGGCCAAAGGCCAACTTCTTTCCATGCCTCGCCTTTGGCTCCGCCCGAATTACCCGATTGTCCATAGAGTGTAGTTTTTGTACGTTTGTTTCTCTTCGGAAACCGAATCTTCATGCGTGAAACTTTGTGTGCTGTTTCCAGTGATACAACTGACATAGACGTGTTGCGAAAGAATGCAAGATTCCCGGGAAAGATTCCTCCAAGTCGCCCACGACCAAGCGTACCCTCGCCCGACGGACCAGTCGTGTCGCGCTTACGCGAGCCGCGCACAGAACTGCGAGATGAAGAAAGAACTTGATTTTGGTAGCTGGAATCGCAATATTTAGTCGACACATTTGTACCGGATTAGCACAAGCTTGCAGCAGATATTCGCACGTTGTTGGGTAACTTTCTTTGTGTCGTTCGGGAAATGCGCGCAGGGGGAAGATGATGTCGCGTGCTAAAGGAATGAGTGAAAATTCGCTATAAGGTCGGAGAGAAGGGAAACCTACCTAACAGAAAGGTAGGGGACACCTTGGGGGGTGCGGACCGACATGCAACTCTCAGCGGGGGAAATGTCCTGGCGATCTGGCATGGCCATCCTCGCGCCGCTGTCGCCGCGACACACCCCTCTCGGCGTCTGACGCCAGCGTTTGATGAGAGAGCGTTAGCGTTGAAGAGGGCAGCATCGATGAGAGTCGCATCAAGTGCGATCAAAGCGCAAGAAAGGTCCCATTTCTCGGATTCTGGGCCGCTTCTATGGTTTTTCTTCGTCCCTGCACCTCTACTCTTATGGGCTGCCTTTTCATCGTAAATTCCGCCTTTAACCCATAGTGGTCATGGCCATCTTGGCCCTCAGGACCGCGCCTCCGTAGGTCGATGGGCTGATCCTTCCGGTAAAAGGAGAGAGCTATGCAAAAAGGGGCATGTGTGCGTCCTCGCTGCTGGAAAGTGCGCAACAAGTCCATGGAATTGCTACCTCGCCTATCGGGACTGCGGCGACCACTACGGATGTCTGCGTCTCACCTGTCCACTATGCTGTGTCGCCTGTGATCTTGCTTCAGCACCCGGTGGCGCTTCGTCGTAGCACGTCTGCCTTGGAGTGAACCCCTGCTTTTGGTGTCGTCGGTGGTTTCGTCCCCCTTTCTCGTTGATGGCAGTCACTTTGCCCTCTTGATTTCATTTTTTAGCAAAGCACCAAAATTATCAATTATGAAACGTGCCAACATTTCTCATGTACCACGTCCACGCTTTGGCCCCACCAGAATTTTGCTTATCCATGAGAAAATTTCCTGATTGATCAACAGTTACTCCTTACCTTATCGATGACGGCATCGTCGAGGATGTGGAAGTCGATCTCTGTCCATGGCTGAAAATGAATACTATATTTATTATTCCTATAATATTTATAACTCTATATCTATACTATGATTCAACAGTACGTGCACTTGCCTGTATTGCCATCCCTCTGTTATCGCTATCGACTGTGATCAGTTTTTTGCCTTGGTTCTCCTTCAGCAGACCGGCTTTGTAGCACGACGAAAGTTCAACTTCGGGAGCATAGATCAGATGGAAGTTCTGCAGAAGAAAAAGCCCACTATCAGGCAAAATATCTCCCAGTTCAGGGTCTGGGAAGTTGTTTTGGATACTGTTCCTGAACTGGTATGGGTATGAGAGGTGGTACGACCGCGTAGAATGCGCCGTGTCGATTTCATCTTACCAAAACCGTAGGGCTGATTTGGTAGTTCAAAGCGAGCGCTTTCTTCCGTCATCAATGCCGTTAACTACAGTGCGATGCAAAATCATAGGACACCCCCCAAAAATATGAATATCTCGGCTTCTAGAAAATCGTCGTTCATCGCAACCTGTAAATCAGAACCGCCTTATGAAAAACCTATATCCACAAGTTACCAAGTTATCCGATTAGTATTCCGTATTTTTAGCCGTAAATTTTAGTCACATTTTGATCCATTTTTAGCCATTTGTCTGAAAATACGGAAAACTAATCGGATAACCTTGTAACTTTCGAGTAGAGGTTATTTATAAAGGCAGTTCTGATTCTGCAGGTTGTGATGAACGATGTTTTTTAAAAGTCGAGATATTCATATCTTTTGGGGGTGTCCTATGATTTTGCACCGCACTGTCTATCACTGAAAGGAAGGGGATATTCGTGTAACATAAGAAGCACGCCTCGACCCACTCAACATACTATCATAGCGCCAACTTAAACATATTGGTGCAAAAAAGGCAGCTGTTGGGCTTTTGAGGATCACTCTGTGTCCACGAAAGGTTTGCTGCCTCGGAATTGTTCCTTTCCTGCCATCATGCCAATGAACGCGTTCTAGACTATCTTTGGGTGCGTCCAGACACCCGCTTATCGCGGAGGCCAGGTATTCCCCTGCAAATTTCACAATACAATTGACGACGACCTCTGAACTAATCTGATGAATAATTGTTTATGCTGACGGCTGATAGCTGATAAGCTGTTTCTTCAGCCCTGTCAAATTTCGAGATTGGCAGCATGGGACCCTTCTTTCTACCTCCCATAAGAAATCCCCTTTCGTCGACCGATGTTGGATGAGGAAGGAGGGGGGGGGGGCAAAGGTCATATGACAGAAGGAACGCAAAATCTGTCGAATTTTTCAAAATTCCCACTATCTACAAATATGTCTCACCCACTGAGGAGAATCTGTTCCCTCCCTCTCCAATGCAAATACCTTGTCAAATCCCTCTGCAAGAACCACTCCTATAAGAAACCTGTCTATTGAAACCAACCAACAGACGGCTGGATCTGGCTTCAAACGATACAGCTTGCACCATGATTCTCCATCTCACATGTATGTAATTTCGTGCAACTGGAGCGAAAACGACCCCTCCCTACAAACTAAACGTAATACGACCCCCCTCCTCAGTTGCTACTCGTCTCAACGTAGGGTTGACCCTGCTGAGGACTCCGTAGCACAAATAACGACGTCCCCCCTGATCGTGAGATGTAATAGTCTTCTGCCAACGAAATTCTAAGCCGATAACAGTGGTTCTCTAAATCGGCTTAGAATTTCGTTGGCAGAAGACTATTACATCTCACGATCAGGAGGGGGACGTCGTTATTTGTGCTACGGAGTCCTCAGCAGGGTCAACCCTACGTTGAGACGAGTAGCAACTGAGGAGGGGGGTCGTATTACGTTTAGTTTGTAGGGAGGGGATCGTTTTCGGCTCCAGTTGCAATGAATACATACATGTGAGATGGAGAATTATGGTGCAAGCTGTATCGTTTGAAGCCAGATCCAGCCGTCTATTAGTTGGTTTCAATCGACAGGTTTCCTATAGGAGTGGTTCTTGCAGACGGTCGGATTTGACAAGGTTTCATTTTGCATTTTGGGGAGGGAGGGAAAGGATTTTTAATGGTGGGACTAACTTGTAAATACTGGAAATTTTGAGAAATTAACGGTTTTTGCGTTCCTTCTGCCACGTGACCCTCGCCCCCCCCCCTCTTCCCTCATCCCACGTCCAGTCGACGAAATGGGTTTCTTGTGGGAGGTAGAAAGCAGGGTCCCATGTAGCCAATCTCGAAATTTGACAGGGCTCAAGAAGCAGATTATTGCACTGTAACCGGGGGAGGGGAGCTGAAACATAGTGGGCGGAAAAGGTGTGGTGGCAAATGGCGTTGCTTACCAAGTGCACGATCCGGAGATCAAATCTAGGGTCGTACGGTCCAAATCAAGCCCTCCACCTCGTCTAGACAGGGTAACTGGTTCTAGCTTGCATAGGAGGATAAAACATTTATTCGTACATCGGCTGGCCACGGCAAGTAATGTGTAGGCCAAATCGGATTCAAAGTGCCACTACGACTCTGAATGGAAGTGGATGCGTGGCGCATCCCAGGAAGGGCTGATCGACCCCGAATGTTTCATGTTTAATCCTTTTAATGATTACGTACCCTGTTTTCCTGCAATCCAGTCATAATCGCTAACAATTTGGGATTTTGTCCTTTGCGCTGTGCCAGTTCCAAAATTCCTTCACCACCTCGGAATCCAGTCAGACGTGCTTCCAAACGGCCGCCTTCTGTAAAATGTTGATATCATCGCTTAATATTGCTCTCTGACAACCCACGTCAATCCTTTTGTGAAGTATTTGGATGCGGCTATGCAAAAGCTATTTTGTAGATCTATGTCAGTGTAGCGCGTACCTCGAAAAACTTCATTGTGGGGACGGTATCCTCTCAAAAGACCTGCCCTATGACGAAGTAAGAAACCACGGGACCTGATGAAGGTCACTTTTCAAGACCTCGCACCCCCAACGAATAGTTCGATGAAGTGAAGCCTCAGCTCGATTACATAGAGCGGTTCCCACTCGCGAGAAATATACTGATGTGGCAGCACGAGATGTTAGGAGGAGGCGCTAAGTAAAGTAAGGATGCTCATGGGACTCCACCCAGCATTCGAAGTCCCGCCCATGCACTCACATCGTAGGCCACATCTACTCTCTTTCGTATCCATGCTCTCTCGTACTTGACTGTTTTCCCTCTCCCCGCAGGTGATATCTCTTATCTCGCAGTCTGCCTCTCACACTTCCACAACGTAGGGAAAGCAGACCCTTATTAAGTGTCTACGATAATTTTTTCCTTCGTGTCGGTCCACTTCGCACCTGTACATTCATCTTCCAACGGCATGAACATAAAAATTTGATCGTGGGCTGTGCCTTTAAGTTTTCAGCACCAGTCAATTTATGATGTCAGATAAGTGGACATCATAGTCTTTTACCCTCTGAAATGAAAAAATCGCTTTAACTTTAAATATTTTCTAATTCTTCTTATATCCAGAAAAATCGATAAATTTCAATTTTTTTGGTGTTTGGTACCAATGCTAATCACGCGGTCACTGGTGTCTTTTTTGCATCTCCGTGTGGCTAGCAATCCATTTCAATGTCGTCTTCACCCAGCTAGGTCACCATGCCCTTCCTCTCGAATTAGGGATTATCGTCCAACGGGCTCGATATGTGTTCTTTTTGCAGGCTAACTGTGGTAAACAATGATAATTATGAACGAATCCGCGGTGACCGGAACTGGACGCGTGCGGTTGCGAGGAGTCCGCGAGAGTAATTGCACAGTGGCTATTGTTTCGCTTGCGGTAATGAATAAGAAAAATAGAAAAAAAGAACAAAAGTTGAGAAGAAATTCAGACATCCAGAAATAATATCGAAAAATGATAAATTTAAAACTAGGAAAATAAAAAAAAAATCGAAATAAATAAAAAAAGCTCAAGGATATGGGGAAAAATTGGAGTGAATATCATGTCAAGGGTTTTGCGACAGCATTTTTAGGCGGTGGCACTGACTCATAGACTTGAAATAACATAAATAAAAATAGTTTTTTCAAGTGAATGTTGTTCCGTGAACGGCACTTAAGTAAATTCAATCATTAAAAACTTAGCAAGTTATGGTCGAAATATTCGAACTTGGCCAGGTTCACTATCTCGAACTAATGCCCTGATATCGCATAGTGCGCGGTACGAGATTCCCGTTGAGGTCGAACTTTTTGCTCACACATGAGCAGTTCTATGATGGGTTCGTGACTCTTTCGCTTTCAAGAAAATGCCACTGAACCGATTCAAAGGCAGGGGTCCCCTTTGGGTGTCAGGCGGAGCCCACGAACTTGAAAAAGGAGGCATATAGTCGAAGCAGGCACATCTTTCCATGCATTGCTTGACCCGCCTCGCGCTCATTTAGCCACATTGCCGCCTCTTGAGGCTATAGTTGATCGGACATTTGTGAATTCTCATGTGATGGGTATTCTGGCAGTATTCCAAGAATATGTGGACCACTATGCTTACGAATCGTGCTTTGTTCTTCATAATGATGAATACTGCACCTTCCATTGGCGGATCAATGCATGTGTTACGGAAGTAGTTGACGGTGAAAGTGTGATGAGCGTCGTTCTCGATGAAAAGATCCGGACGAGTTAGCTGTCCTGGTCCGAGATCACACACTGATCGTCGCCTGGGATAACTGCACGCAGGAACAGAGCAGCAGGTTGCCACGTCATTGCCGCAAGCCAATAGAGACGCATGCAGACGATCGTCCTTTGAACTGAAACCACAGAGAATTGGATGGTCAAGATGGCAGAAAGAAAATGATGATTGAGAGAGAGGTGAAGAATAGAGAGTAGGAAAAGAGTAAACACCAAAAAGAGAGAATGTTCCAGATAACAAAGGCGAAGTAGAACGGTCAACCTGCCGCCCATTATATGATTGGTCACTCCCACAGGAATCTCTGGGTGCCTATTCTACAAGCTTCTTCGATTTTAAATGGCAGTGGAATATGTGGTGCATTTCAAGAAATAATTAGCGAACGGATGCTTTGTCCTTTCTGATGAATCACAATTCAAAGGAGGACTCCACGGTGAGGTCGGGAAATATATCTAGTCGAGAAGCGCGAGTCCCCCCCCCTTTAAAGTGCCAGACGATGCGCGTTTTGCAGCAAAGGGTATGCATCCAGCGGCCCAGCAGAGCAGTACCGCGCCGCTAGCGCCGCAGCCCGCCCACCTACTACTACCCCTCGCCGTCGGACTCTGGCCGCGGCCTGTACGGCTCGAGCAGAGACGCAGAGCATGGAGTTTGCACTGTACCAACCGGACTCTTCCAATGCGGAAATCGACGGGCCAAATTGGGACCCATCTCGGATCCTAAGCGATTTCTCTTGGTGTTTCTCTTCATCCGCCCATCACTGACCACCCCTACTTCGATTTATAATGTTCTATCTTTTCATCGTAAACTTCCCTTCTGAGTCTCAATCTATTATTTGTTGGGGCTATGAAAAGTGTTTTGCATAAGTCAAAAAGGAACCCTCAAAAAACTCGCGGCATTACGGAATGAGGACATCTTTCCACTTGGGTGAAAGAAAAAACCGAAGGAATGTTCTACGTCACTAAATGGATGGCTACATACATCTCATTCATTCTTCTAAACGCCACCCTTCCGAACGAGTTTCACTGCTTCTGTGCAAGGAAAACGTTTTTCATGACCGCCCATAAGTTGTGCGGGGAACTCTTAAACATCGATATGTTCCAGTGGACAATTTAATTCCCGGCATGCGGCGGATCGTGTTCAACACGGAGCGATCCGCTCGTAATGCGGCTACGAGTACTCGTTAAGTGCAGCTCGTGCCGAAGCTGAGAACGATGACCGTAATTAGACGAGGAATGCGCTGAAGGCGGAGGCCGGCATTCCAACGCTCGGCACGCGCGGACCGTCGATGACCGGCCGAATCAACCACTCAAAGCCTCGTAAACTCCATCGCGAATATCTCAAGGACAACGCTTTTCATTCCATGCATTCCTACTTTTTTTGAACGAACTCTCACAATAGATGTGAGATTCGATCCACAAATCTCCTTCCGCGATACGCCATGCACTTGATTTCCTACGTGTGAAGGTAAATCTGATGAATATATGCAAATATGGAGGAATATGGAAGGTTGTTTGCCAACAGTCACCTTAGCATTTGACGCTACAAAGGTTGTAGGCTCCCGAAAGGCGTGACTATGTAGGGACTCAGAAGAACTAGCCTAAGGAGACGCTATGGCCCTTGGATCATTCTGCACCCAGGCCCATCGTGAAATAGCCCGTGGGAAGGGGTTACTTTTCCGTACGGTTACTGTCAGAGTAAAGGTGCTAGACAGGCCAAACACATACAAACGCCCCAACACCTCTAAGTGGAACCCCAGTGCATGGCCCACTCCGGACGGCTTCGCCATTTTTTTTACTTGTCGTGGACTTGGAGCCTACTATTAGCTACCACTCAGTAATGGAATTTTTTCTAAGTTCCGCCTACCTGGAATCGATCTCCATTGGTTCTTGACCCATCCCCATCTCCGGCGTTCATATTCGATGTCCTACATGTAATACAGGACTACCGGGCCGCTAGTTCCAGAAGGCCATACCACCTCAAACACGCCTATTTTTTTTGTCATCATAGACCAAAATTAATTGTTTTTTTGTCACCTTGTCAGGTTTCAAAAACAATTTTGCACAATGAACCAAAACTTTTCCCATCCGAAAAGTAGTAAGAGGATTATTAAAGAAGCCAAGCATCCAGGCACGCAAACTCCGCCCATTTTGGGCGGAGCCTAAGCAGCTGCTTGGATGGCGCATACGTTTTCGGGCTCGATTGCGGGAATTTGTAAATTTCCCAAGGAATTAGAAGTTCGTAGCCCACATTATAAATTCGCGGGACTAATTTGACCGAGCTTGAAAATTAGGGTTTGCTTTGACCCCAGAGGGGACCGAACTTGCATGCTCGTAGGACGTGAATTTATTATCAAAACGGATAACTCGAATCACCCATGCCTCTGAAAAAAAGATTCGCACAGCTGTTGTCTATGTAAGGCAACCATTAATCTGGCATTTCTTTTACCGCATTCCCGTACAGTTCGCGATCTCGCCAGAGGTCAACGCTGATTATTGTAACCAGTTTTATTTGCCGCGCGCATGTTGTTAAAAGGAATTCTGAATTGGCATCAATTTGTCATACAACGTTCACAAAGCGGCGGTGAAGGCGTTTTTCCTGGGAACCTCGTTTTCTGACGGCATTCCATCGCTAGGAATCCTTTGGTTTCACTTGGTTGATGTGTGACACCATTGGCTGTGTTCAGGTGTGGTGCACATAACTTCAGCCCCGTGTTTTACAAGACGGTAATCAGAAAATCACTGATAGGAATGTGTTACCGCATGGGAACGCCATCTGTAATGCTTTGTCCCAAGGTCAGGATTTCTGCAATATTTCAATTAAGTTCGGAAATTCAAAGTGAGAGTAAAAAAGCCCAATTATATTTGTCCAATGGTTGTTCCAGCTTGCGTGGGAAAGACTTAAAGGCACAGGAGAGACACAGAGAGGTGTTCAGTTCCCAGGGTTACAAGTTCCTGAACAATAAAGAAATCAAGGGCTGTGATAATGGCCTTAGGGATTGCACGGATTTCTCAGAAACACGGTCAAGGAATGGCCTTGGTTTTCAATACTTGCAACCCGACTTTTTAACTCTCATAGGAGAAGAGATTTAAAGGCCCAAAGCTATCTGGTACTCCTTCTGTACCTCTTTTCTCCGATGTTACTCCTACTGCGGCAATTTCTTCCAGTATTCTCCCATGTGACGGCCTCTGTAAGAGGGGAATTTTCCCTGTCGCTGCAACTTACCCTACCCGCAGCTCCAGTAGTACTGTGGTTCAGTTACAGTGGCGCACTGTTCATAGACCTTGCTAACAGCCATATTTCGGGTATCGAATCCCTCACTGAAATCCTGATCTTCTAAGCCTTTCATCAGTCCAGGACTCTGGTTTTGATACCAGGCTCGCGTGGGAGGAAGGGGTACATCACTTATTTGTACCTTCGGCCAGTCCTTGGGATTTATCGTATAGGTCGATTATGTCCAGCTTGCCACATGTTGAATTAGAGATCAAATGCGTGGCGCATTCTGAAGAGGTTTTACTTACAGTGAGGCTATATTCTCCACTTCATTGTATACCCGTGCTGAGCAGGGCATGAAAAAACTAACCCGGGCCAGTTCCGTTGATCAAAAATCAAGTTTGTCAAATCTGTGGACGGAAGACTATAGCCTATTCAACCATAATAAATGGTAAGGCATGTGTAACGGTACGGTGAGGGATACGGTAGATTCAGTGTGGTAAAACGTGGACAAGCTCCTAGAGCCTTAGGGGGGAGGCATTCAAAGACATTTGAAATGGCTTGAAAACCGCTGGTAGTTGTCACAAGAACAGAGCTCAGAAAAGGGAGAAACGCCAGGGAGGGTAAAAATTGCTGTCATGCTCTCCAGAATCCCTTCCCCTTCCCGAAGCTTAGTCGCAATTACTGTAAGTGGCTCACTTGAATTGTCCCCTTTTCCCCCCCCCC